GGGCGAACGGCCACGCCCCCTGGTGCCCGCCAACCTGAAAAGGTTGGGGACCACTGTAATAAGCGTACTTTCTATACCAATATCTAAATCATTGATGAAGATATTGAACAGAGCTGGTCCCAAAACAGGCCCCTGCGGAACCCCACTTGTTATGCCTTTCCTGCAAGATTGTGAACCATTAATAACTACTCTGAGTACGGTTATCCAGCCAGTTATGCACCCACGTTATAGTAGCCCCATCTAAGTTGTATTTACCTAGTTTATTGGTAAGAATATCATGTGAGACCGTATCAAACGCCTTACTAAAGTCTAGGTATACCACATCCACTGCTTCTCCCTTATCCACAAGACTCGTTATCCTATCAAAGAAAGCTGTCAGATTGATTTGACATACTTTGTTCTTTACAAATCCATGCTGGCTGTTCCCAATCACCTTGCCACTTTCCAAGTGTTTACAGATGATTTCCTTAATTACTTGCTCCATTATCTTCCCTGGCACAGAAGTTAAACTAACTGGTCTGTAGTTTCCTGGGTTGTTCTTATTTCCCTTTTTATAGATGGGCACTATATTTGCCCTTTTCCAGTCCTCGCATGGGAGACAGGAGAGATTCCAATTTCCAACAGTTTCAGCGAAGCTGTTTTGCCTGGCTTGTAGGGATGATGCCATGCTGTGTTAGAACCCCCTTTAAAAACCATGGCCCACCTTTGGCAGTAATGGATTTATTTTCCTATACACTGTGAGGGCCAATGGATTGAATACTCCACCAAAAGAGCCCTGGAAAACAGTAACCATGTGCCACTTTATTCTGTCATGCTCAGCAGTGAGCTCTGCCTTTTCCTTCCTCCAAGTCCCTGTTTCACAGGTTAAGGTGAGAAGGGACAGTTGTGCTCATCTGACCTCCTGCATGAAACAAGCAACCTCGTTTGGTCAAGGAGAGCTGAACAGGACTTCTTCAAAGCTCACCCATGCTAGTCCTTTGCATGGTCGCTCCAGTGTAACAAGGCCTTTCTGTGTCTGTGGCTTCCCAAAGGGCCATAAAGAACAGCCACCACAGTGCTCTCCGTGCTTTGCCGACCTGTGGAGTGAAAGATCCTGGTGTCTCATATCCTAGAACAGAGTTAGTTTCCCTGCATTGTAGCTTTGATACAGGCCTGGAGGGAGTTCCTGGTCTCTTCATGTCTCAAGACTTCCAGTGTTCTTCCTTGATGGTTGCTTGTGTCTTGACATTACAGGCAGTCCCCGACTTACGCGGATCCGACTTATGTCGGATCCGCACTTACGAACGGGGCTTTCTCGCACCGGAGGTCGAGGTGGCGGATTGCTACCTGCGAGCTCCGGGGCGAGAGAGCCCCGTTCGTAAGCTGCTCCGGTGCCCCTGGTCTGCTGGAGACTGTCTCCAGCAGACCAGGGGCACCGGGCGGGTTCCCGCGCTTCTGAGGCTTTGCGAGCCCTTTTTAAATATTGGCGTTACATTAGCTGTCTTCCAGTCATTGGGTACAGAAGCTGATTTAAAGGATAGGTTACAAACCATAGTTAATAGTTCCGCAATTTCACATTTGAGTTCTTTCAGAACTCTTGGGTGAATGCCATTTGTTCCTGGTGACTTGTTACTGTTAAGTTTATCAATTAATTCCAAAATCCCCTCTAATTTCACTTCAGTCTGTAACAAGTCCTCAGATTTGTCACGTACAAAGGATGGGTCAGGTTTGGGAATCTCCCTAACATCCTCAGCCATGAAGACTGAAGCAAATAATTCATTTAGTTTCTCTGCAATTACTTTATTGTCTTTAAGTGCTCTGTTTGTGTATCGATTGTCCAAGGGCCCCACGGTTGTTTAGCAGGCTTCCTGCTTCTGATGTACAGGCAGTCCCCGAGTTACGCGGATCTGCAGTTACAAACGGGGTTTTTCTCGCCCCGGAGGACGGGAGCGTCAGGACGCGTCCTCCGGGGTGAGAAAAGCTGCTCCGCAACTCTGCCTTGGGCTTCCTGTAGTCAGCCGTTGGTCAGTTTCAGCAGCGGCTGAATCTGGACGCCAGTTCTGACTTACATACAGATTCAACTTAAGAACAAACCTACAGTCCCTATCTTGTACGTAACCCGGGGACTGCCTGTACCCTGCTGGGAATGGTTTTAAGTAAGCATAGTTGACTATTGTTTTTCCATGTATATAGCTAGTGTGTACAGAAAAAAGAAAATGTGTTTTTTCTAACGCAGCCATAAACCAGGAGGATCAGATGGATGTAAGAAGACCTTTGCATTTTTATAGTAATGACAGAGAAATTATATGGAGAGATTCTGCGGTGCACCACGGACCTGGCAGACTTTGCTGTCATCCTCGATCATGTGTCACGTAGCTCCTTAAATGTAGGGACAGATGTGAGCAATGTAAGACTGCATCTTACAAGCAGCAGCAACATTGTTAAATTAACTGTGTATAGAAGAAAAGATGAGATGGGGATTTCTAAGGCAGAAAAGTAGTTACCCATTTTTTAACTTGAAAGGAAACCGTTAAAGTAGTACTAGCAGCGGCACTCAATCCAGGCAGTGAAAGCGTTCCTGAACTGGTCAGTCCTAGTCCTGGTTTGGCCCAAGAGAAACTGTCTATCCAAGTGAAGGATCTCACTACTCTTCCATCTTCTGGCTTTGCTCCACTGTAGGCAGCTATCTCCATGGAATTGCCATCGCTAATCCTAACTAAATCATCACAAGTTCTTTCCCACATTTTCTCATCTGCCATAATTATATACTGACTTCATTTTCACATCAGCATCTCGGTCTAAATAATTGCTTCCTGACCCTGCCTCACTGAGATATTGGATCTTTCAGGAAGGCCACTATATGTCCTCCTAAGGGCAAGGAAAGTCAGTCTTGTGGTTTCCAAGGCAAGGTGCATGTGCCATTCACATGCCAATCCCAGTGGAACCGACAGATTTACTGGGCCCCTGGTCAAGCCTGGGGGATGGCTTGGTGCCCCCGGAAGGGGCAGGACCTTGGTAGAAGGTGTGGGAGTGGGGCTAGCTCTCTCTTCCCGCCCTCTTCCCCCCCCTCCTCCTCCCACAGCCTCAGCACCACTGGGATTACGCCACCCCTAGCACAGCAGTGCTTCATGGATTTCTCAGCATGGAGTCTGGTGGCATTTTCAAGGGCTGGTTTTTTTATCCATTTTGCATAACTTTTTCATTGTAAGGTTGCTTTATTTTTATTGTTACTAAAATCAGCTTCAATCTTTTTTCTAGTTTGTCTCCTATGAATGGGGTGCTCAATAGACAGCCCTGAAGAATGAAGTTCTCTCTTTACTTACAGCAGAAATAGCAGTGCTGCCAGATACTCTGGCCTACCTCCACTTTCTTCCTGAGCACTGTGCTGAAACAACTGGTGAGAGTGCCAGCCACTGCCACCCACACTCACCTGTCCCCTTCCATAAGGCTAGCGGAGACAACCAAATAAAAAGAGTTCAAACAGGAATTAATTCAGGGAAGTCGCCTGGCCTGTGCTGTACAGGAGGTCAGACTAGATAGATCATAGAAGTCCCTTTTGGCTGTAGTATCTATGAACTCATTGCATACAAGCAGAAGTCATCCTCAAATAAAACTCTGCCACCAAAATTCTTCTGTTTCTACTTTCCTTTCAGGTCACTTCTTTCAGTACACCACCGACACCAGAGCGCAACAATCGACCATCCTTTTTCTCCCCATCTCTGAAGAGAAAAGTGCCCCGGAATCGGATCGCTGAGATGAAAAAATCCCACTCAGCAAATGATAGCGAAGAATTCTTTCGAGACGATGACGATGGAGGTGAGAGAGATGACATCAGAGAACCCTAGCTTAGGCTGCAGACTTCTGGAAAGGGATCAAAGTTGAGATTTAAGGGGCCTAAGAAATGTGCACCCAACTTCATTGAAAGTGAAATACGCAAGCATTGATTTTCACTGTGAGCCTAACCATTTTAGAAAATTTTGAAAATTTGAGCCCTCTTATTCCTACCTGCTTCTTATAATATCCTTCTTTATCTTGGAGAAAAGTGAGAGAAGAAAGTCCTTCATTTTAGATGCACTTTCCAAGGCAATAATATACAATAAACTCAATGGCAAGTTCTCAGAATACTTTCTATAATAAAGGCCTCGTCCAAAGCTGATTGAAGCCAGTGGAAAGGTTCCCATTAGCGTCAGTGGGATTTGGATCAGGTCCTAATGGCACAAATGAAAAAGTCTGATACTAATAGCAAATTGCATTGGGATGCTTTACCACTTCATACAGAACTTAACATTTTTTATTTCTCCAGTTCCAATTAAATTAGACTTGGTTAGTCAGTAGGAATAAGCAAAAAGATGAATGAAGCCCAATATTAATAAGACAGGAAATGAATACAGCCACGTTATAAAATTATGAGCCGGAAAATAATCTAAAAACTCAGTGAGAAGAAAGAATTGTTTTTCATATTAAAAAATGTATTCAGTAGGCAAGCCAACAAAATTAGGGCCTATTGATATGATGATTTGTAAATACAAAGGGGGTATTTCCTAGATCACAAAATATTAATAGAAATGATCGGTCAATGTTGTTTTGTCCATCAAATTTCAATGAAATTTGACCATATTATCCAACAAGAAGCCATAAAGAATTAAAGCCCAGTTAATGCAAATACATTAATGTATTGATCAGAGTTTCAAATGAAAATGCAAACTTCAGTAACCACGTTCCATTCCATCCCATGTCTGTGAAGTAAAATGCAGGAGCCAAACTTCATCTAAATTCTTAAAATGTTCATCCACAGAGACCACTCTCCTCCCTTTCCCCTTAACTTTTCTATTAAAAAAATTCACCGCTTCATCTTCTAAGAGATACTTGGCCTGTGTGATTAGACAAAGTGTAGAGCATGAACTAAAGCATCAATCCTGTACTGTGCAGTATGGGAAGAAAACTGTTGTGACTGGTTGTATTGTGGTTCCCGCTGGATGTGACGTGGAATAGGAGCCTCTGGGACTTATCCAACAGAACTTGTTAGTTATACTTGCTGTGATATCAATGGGACTAGGCTCGTAGACTTCAAGGCCAAATCATGACAGTCTAGTCTGATCACCTGTTCATTGCAGGCCGCAGAACTTCACCCCCTACTCCTTCAATAGGCCTTTAACCACAGGCTGAATTACTGAGGTCCTCAAGTCTTAATGAAAAGACCTCCACTTATAGAAAATCAAGTGTTTACTCTAATTAATTCAAATCAGCAAGTGACCTGTGCACCATGATGCAAAGGAAGGCAAAAACCCAAAGGATCTCTGACCTGGGGGAAAATTCCTTCCTGACTCTAAATATGATTAGCAGTTAAGTATCTGGGTGATATCCACTAGCCAGACAGCTGAGAGAGAATTCTTTCCAGTAATCCATTGTAATGTTCCATCACTGGCAATTGGGGATATTTGCAACTAATAGTCATGGATGGGTCATACATTATTGTAGGCAGCCTCATTAGACCATCCCCTCTATAAATTTATGAAGCTCGGTCTTGAAATAAGTTGAGTTTTTGCCTCACGGCTTTCCTTGGACAGCTGTTCCAGAACTATGCTCCTGTGATGACTAGAAACCTTCATCTCATTTCAAGCCTGCTCTTGCAGATGAATTTATATCCATGGTAAAAATGCTTTACTAAGGCCTTGTTTACACTGACCCTTGCCATCAATCTAATCTAAGTAACTTCAGCTATGCAAATAGCGTAGCTGAAGTCAATGTATTCACCACACTATCTTGTGTGTAATAAGGTCGGTGGGAGCTGCTCTCCTGTTGATACTTGCTGCTCTTCTTGTCCTAGTGGAGTACCAGCATCGATGGGAGTGTGCTTGGAGTTTCATTTATCGTGTCTAAGCAGACACAATAAATTGATGGTTGGTGGATTGATCGCTGCAGTGTCAATCCCCAGCATAGAAGAGACAAGCCCTTAGTAATGTTTGGCAGAATCAGACTTTAAAGCAATAAATCATAGTGACAACAATTCTCATGATTTAAATTCCCTCTTTTTTTCATCTGAGTTGGAATCTCTCTCTTCTGTCATGCCCTTAGGAAAATATAGATTTATTTACCATTATAATAAATCTTTTATTTTAATCTCAAAGCCACTGAACTCAATCTCCTCTTATCTAAAAAGGATGCAAATATAACATGAGTGGTTCAGGTGAGTGTGTTAGAGCCAGACAGAATTACTGAAATTTTGTACCCAGCTCCCAGTTTCCTCCCCCCAGCCACAGAACTCTGTCCCCACTGGCACCCTGTCCCCAGCTGCAGAACTCTGCTCCCTCTCCCCTCCCAGCACCCTGCTCCCTCTCCTCTGCCAGCACCCTGTCCCCTGCTCCCAGCCACAGAACTCTGTCCCCACTGGCACCCCTGTCCCCTGCCAAAGCACCCACTAGCACCCTTCCCCAGTACTATGTCCCGTTTCCACCAACACAGTTGGGGCCACATTAGTGAAGCTTGAGGGGGAGTTGGAGGAGTGTTTTTTTTTTTTTTGCATTTCACTCGTGTGGCCCCAACTGACTTTTCTTGGGTCAGTGACCCCTGACTCAAAACAGGTTCCCTGCCCTTCTCAGAAATAAAGACAATGCAGAAACTTTTTTTGTTTGACACAGTATTTTATTTAAAAATGAAGCCTGGCCACCAAAACCCCCGGTTGGGGCCATAGCATCATAACACCTACACTTCTTTCTCCCAGACCCAGAATATCTTACTGCCCCTGTATAAAACTATGGTACGCCCACATCTTGAATACTGTGTACAGATGTGGTCTCCTCACCTCAAAAAAGATATTTTGGCCTTGGAAAGGGTTCAGAAAAGGGCAACTAAAATGATTAGGGATTTGGAATGGGTCCCATATGAGGAGAGGTTAAAGCGACTGGGACTTTTCAGTTTAGAAAAGAGGAGACTGAGGGGGGATATGATAGAGGTCTATAAAATCATGAGTGGTGTGGAGAGGGCGGATAAAGAAAAGTTATTTATTAGTTCCCATGACAGAAGAACTAGAGGACACCAAATGAAATTAATGGGTAGCAGGTTTAAAACTAATAAAAGAAAGTTCTTCTTCACACAGCGTGTAGTCAACCTGTGGAACTCCTTGCCAGAGGAGGCTGTGAAGGCTAGGACTATAATAGAGTTTAAAGAGAAGCTGGATAAATTCATGGAGGTTAGGTCCATAAAAGGCTATTAGCCAGGGGATAAAATGGTGTCCTTGGCCTCTGTTTGTCAGAGGCTGGAGAAGGATGGCAGGAGACAAATCGCTTGATCATTGTCTTCGGTCCACCCTCTCTGGGGCACCTGGTGCTGGCCTCTGTCGGTAGACAGGATAGTGGGCTAGATGGACCTTTGGTCTGACCCAGTACGGCCGTTCTTATGTTCTTATGTACATCTGAGCCGATCATACACTGGAACCTCTGCCCTGAGCCCCTCACATACCCCAACCCAAATTCCTGAACTCTCACATCCAGAAGTCTGTGGCTTGCTTAGTACCCTACCCCTACATCTGACCCCAATACTGCCCAGCCTGGTGCCCCCTCCCGGAGCCACCATCCCCTTCTCCACCTTCTCCTGCATCCAGATTTCCTCCCAGAGCTTGCACCTCTCACCCCTTCCCACACCCAAGTCCCTCATTCCCACCCCAGAGCCTACACATCCTGTCTCAACCCAGCGAGGTTACGGCTAGACTGCAGGAGTTTTTCAGGATTCCGGAGATATCCCAGAAAAACTCTTCTGCATCCAGGGATGCGTTTGTTCTTTTGCTTCTTTTAGTGGAAGAGCTAACGTGATCTTTAGGTCATTCCTCTTTCCACGAGGAATAAGGGGGCTTCCAAAAGAAGGGGTTTTTCTGATATTTGGTCCAGTCTAGACAGGCCAAATATTGGAAAAACCTCTTCCTACAGAAGAATTGGGGGGGAAAAGCAGCAGTATAAGGGTTGCGGATAACAAGTGATGGAGAGGAGGAGAATAGAGAGAGCGGGGCTTGAAGGACGGGGCAGGGTGATAGATCTTGACTTGTTCTGTCATTTAAAAATCTTGGGTGTAAAAAGGTTGGAGACCATTGATGTAGAAGCTCTTAGTATTACTCAAAGATCCTTGAGTGCTTGACTTAAATTGTGCCAGGCTCTCTCTTGCCCTGGAGGCCTCCGCATAGCCTGGAGTGTGTTCAGTACTGCATGCTGCCCCTGGTGTGCTCCCTGTGCCAGGCTTTGCAAGGGGCTCCTTGGAAGACAGCCTTAATACATTCTTCCACCATGCTTATGCCTGGGGAATCCTACACCAGACAGAGTTTATAGGGCCCAGTTTTATTGTGTCCCTTTTTACTAGGGAGAAAAGAGAACAGCAGGGGTGAGGCGCTGAAAGATTCATGAACAGCCCTCTGAGGACCCTACTCTGAACTGTCCTTTAGTTTGTAGAGGGGACAATTTCCTTTTGCTTGTCTTAGAGACACTTCTGCTGTCCCTACATTTTTTTTCCTCCAGAGATTTCATTCAATAGGAATTTAATCAATTTGATGTAGGGTCTAGTTTTCAGTAGCACCCAAGTCACTTTTTAGAAATGAGTTAGGCATGTTAGTCACTTGCATGCTTTTGAAAACCTTACCCAAGTTGAATTGGCCACCTTCTAACTAAATAGTTGATAATAGACTTTATAGTGCTGGATCTATGTATGTTTGGGATTTCATAGAATCTTAGGGCTGGAAGAGACTTCACGAGGTCATCAAGTCCAGCCCCCTGCCCAAAGCAGGGCTAATCCCAACTACCATCATCCCAGCCAGGGCTTTGTCAAGCTGAGACTTTCTATGGCATCTCCTGGAATGGGAGGGAAAAGTAGATTGATAGGCTGACCACCACAAGCTCTCTGACAGCAATGAGGAAATAAGAAATTGGCTTCTCACATTCTTTGTTCTAGGGTTTGCTGGAATGGCCACTGCTGCACATTTCTCTACTGTTAAGGCCTTTTGGTTCTGTCCTAGTTTTCAGTTTCGAGCAGCTCCCTCCCAAAGTTGTTTCAAGTTTTTGTTCAGCCCAAGCTCTAATGTAAATACTGTTGTGTAACTTAAGTCCCTGTTCCATTTGAGAGCCTATTTTTGGCGCTATCAATTGATGATGTAAAGAAAGCCATGTGGTAGGGTATACCCAACTGTGGTCCTTGTGAACTGAGCTGGTTCATCACATGGTGTTGCCTTTCCTGGCTTCCAGGTGTTGATCTTATTTGAGAGCTAAAAGTACAATAATTTCGTAGTGTTACTTTTCTACATAAGCTATATCTATACAGAGAGATTTTGTGATCAAGAACATCTGTGTGCCTAAGATCCAGACTGGTGTTTGACCATGATAAGATAACTGATTACTACTTCCACCAGCATGTGGAGTCTCTGTTAATTCAAGTGATAATGAGCATTTGCTTTGCAAGATCCTGCATTCCACTGCTGCCAATGACCACTGCCTGAAGGACGGGTCTCAGTGCCCCGCATGGAATTCAGTTCTAGATCATTTATCACACCACCACTTTCATCCTGTTTGTGAGGGTTCTTTTCAAGATGAAATGGATGCCTGAACATGCCTGAGACAGGATGGATTTAAAGCACAGTTTCTTTAAGATTATTGTCTTCTACCTTGACAGATCTGCACAATGCTTCGAATCTAAGGTCACGGTCCTTATCTGGAACAGGACGGTCTCTGGTTGGCTCCTGGCTGAAGTTAAACAGAACAGATGAAAACTTCCTCCTCTATGCACATTTAACCTATGTCACTTTGCCACTGCATCGAATTTTAACAGGTGAAACCTTTCAGGTTTTCTCATAAATACCCCAAATAGCTTAGTCCCCAAGTGATGCATACCTGTGACTTAGCTAGTGTCTTAGGGTTAGGCTTCTTATAAAACTATCAAATTGATACAGGAGGCCCCTGACTTGTGATGCGGTCTGTTCTGGGGGAAGCGTCGCAAGTTGGGGTGTCGTACCTTGAACCAGCATTTACGGTAGAAGCCATGCGCCGTTGTAAACGCAGGCCGAGGACATAAGTCAGGTTTCTGGCCCCTTCCACGCTTACAAAAATGGTTGTAAGTGCGGGAGGGTCGGAACTCGGGGGATCGCATGTCGGGGACTTCCTGTATTTTTTCTTTCCTGTATTCATGTCAATTGACCATTGCCAATTTAGTTGACCTATGTCTCAGCTGTGACCTAGGCTTTCTGAAGACTTGTATCCAACTAATGCCAATCTGTTTGCTAAAGACAGAATTATTGCTCATGGGCTGAGGAAAACAGCAGGATGGGTCTGTGCTTTTGCTGTCAATTGAGGGAGCATACTAACCTTTCCATGATAAGGCTGCCAGTCTAGAGATCCTGTATGATCCTAGGCTGCTTATGGATGCTGAGAGAGCAGCAGTGATCAAGAGTACTTGTTTATGTCAATCTGGAGGCTGTGACGCTTCTCTTCAGGCAAACCCAACTATGCCTCTTTCAGCTTCAGGTTGGAGCATCGTAATACCCTGTAGATGAAAGTGCCCTTTCAGACCACTTAGCAAGCTCAGATAGTACAAAATTATTTGTCCGGTTACATAACAGCATTTCATGCTATGCTACAACTGCATTCCATAGTCTGCACTGTCTCAAAGATATTTTCTGGGTGAATTGTAAGGAGCTGGTTTTGATCTGGGAAGATCTTTTTTACTTGGGCCTCCTGTATCTTTGAATCCACCTCACTTCATGCTCCAGTCCAGCAGTTGAGATCACCTGAGATGTGTGAACTGATAGATCCCAAATGGGTTTGTCTGAGCACAGAGCTTTCACCTAATGAAATCACTTTTTGCATTAATCCAGTAAAACCCCACAGTTATTGCAATTCAGGGAACATTATAAATATTATCTACTTGTCAGGGTCTTTCTGTGAGGTAGCTTGAAGACTGGGTGGACTTGTACTAAGGAAATGGTTTTTTTTTACACTAGTCAAGGAATGTTGAAAGGGGGAACTGATGTGCCTATCATGCCTCCAGTTGCATTATCCTATTATAATAGCTTGCAATTATAGGCTAATTTTCAGCAAGGAGTCTCAAAACTCTTTACAAAGATGCATCAGTATTTATCCTCCTTTTACAGCATGTGAAACTGAGTCAGTGACAAATACTACAACTAGCAAAGTGATGGATATGGATATCCTTTTTCCCTTTGCATATAGCGGTCAGTGTAATTCAGAATAAAATGACAAATTTAAATTCCATTCATTCATCCATCCATTGGCCCTCCACAGTTAAAAACAGACTGTGAAGAATACTTGAGGAAAATGGAGAACCATAGCTAAATCTGTACCTTAATGGATAACTATATATTCATATTATAAAATCACTTCTAGATATTTGAGACTGTATCTGCTGCATAACTGGAGCCTTCATCAAGGCCTATCTCTCTTAATGTATGCATTTTGCAGTACAGAGAAATGTATGGTTTTCTTCTGGCATTTACTACATGTTTAATTGGGCTTCATAAATGCCTCCATCCTGTTTGCTGATGGCTAACACCCTTCTGAGGCTCTCTGTAGGAAAATGTTTCAAAGGCAGGCTTACAAGAATTAGGGTCTAAAATAACCCACAGCTAATCACCTGCACAGATATAGATTCTGGTTCGCAGTTCAGCACTGATGAATCTGGCTGGTGCAGCAGCACTTTGTGAGGAGGATATTTGGCTGGCTTCAGAGGTCATTCCCAGAGCACCCAAGTGCTATAAGCACTGCTAGAAAGGGGGAAAACTAGCTAGAAAGATGTACGTGGTTTCCTTCTTTACAAGGGGGGGAGGGATAGTTCAGTGGTTTGTGCATTGGCCTGAAAAACCCAGGGTTGTGAGTTCAATCCTTGAGAAGGTCATTTAGAGATTTAGGGCAAAAATTTGTCAGGAATGGTATTTGGTTCTGCTGTGAAGGCTGGGGACTGGACTCATCAACCTTGCAAGGTCCCTTCCAGTTCTAGGAGATAGGCAATCTCCATTAATTTATTAAGTGGGAGTGGGAGCTAGTGAGAATCTTATTCAGCACTAAAGCTTGATTTTTGCAAGTTGTGCACATGTATTTATTTTGCTTCTTAAGTGTGAAATCCTTTTTTTTTTCTGTTGCCTAATAAAGGAGAGACTGGCAGCCCAATTTTGAAATGTCATTTAAGTAACTAAAGTACCCATTTAGGCATCTAAACTCAAATTTAAGTGTCTGCCTTTCAATGCCAATATAGAAACTGAATCCTGACTTCAAAACCACTCTTCAATGAATGTATTCTTGTACTAGATCACAGTAAAAATGCTCCAACCCCTTAGGCTTTGTGTTGTCTGTAACCGAGGCCATCAGACAAAATCTTATCAATGTTTGTCTCTAAAGCTTTAAGAAACCCATGGGCTCGACTCCTTTGGTGTGTGAGAACAGAATTTGGGTGCATTTCTGCATGGCAGCAAAAGCTTATTTTGCTACAGTGATTTTTTTAGTGATGGGGCTTCCACCAGTTCCCTTGGAAGACTCTTCCACTGGCTAACGAAGGCATCTGAAAGGATACCGTTCAGCTACGCTTTCCTATCAAGGAATCCTATGCAACTACAATAACTGTACATTGGATCAGTTGTCCTTTTTCTCTGATGTCACATAGCTCCTATTTACTACCACACTTTTAGTACTCAGAACAGGAAATGAATGTTTTATATGGTAGATGATGTGACAGTTCTGCTTTTTAACCCCCTTTTGAATTAGTGTGAAAACAATTTGACTAGGGCCAGGTCTTTACTAGGGGATAAGTTTGAATTAAAATACACAACTCCAGCTATGTTAATTGCGTAACTGGCGTTGATGTACTGTACCTTTAATTTGAACTTTGGCATTGTCCCCGGAGTGTGAGATCAACAGGAGAAATGTTCCCATCAGCTTCCCTAACTCCTCATGAGGACTGGGACTACTGGGGTCAATGAGGGTGCCTTCAGCATTTGATTTAGCAGGTCCTTACTAGACCTGCTAAATCGAATGTCCGAAGATCGACCTTCGGAGCATTGATCTGCAGATAAGTATAGATGTGACTTAATATGAAATCCATGATTAGATCACTGTTGCACTTTACTTGCTGTTGAACAATTACAACTTTTGCCAGGTATTTTCAATACAGATTGTCACTTGTCTTCCCTTGTCTGTTTAGATATTCTGGAAGTGCGGCAGAAACCAATTCTGATGACATAGCAGAGTGCTGGGCACTGCCTTGGAATCTTGCTGCCAAGTGCCTATCCACGATGGTTTTCTGTGACAATGCTACCATCTAGTGTCAGGAATATAAACCTACACAGAAAAAAGGGAAGTCTAAGAATACCAGCCTATCAAAGTGCCTCTCTCTTCCTTCCTCTGCTGTCATACACCGTCTGCACACACTAGTAATACATCTCTTTATTGTGTTCTGACTAGAGGACTTTCAAAAACAAAACCAGAAGGGGCTGTGTTGAAAAAAAAAAATCAATGCTTTATGAACAATTTGTTACCGTGTTTACTTTATAACTGAGAAACCAACAACATGTACAGAATATGGTGAACTTTATATTCTTTGAGAGAAACGACTTAAGGGTTTCATAATGATGTACCAATTAACTTTGTTCAAAGACTCTTATCCATGCCCTCCTTGTTATAATGGCTTTGTGTGCATGTGTTTTGGAATGCAAGGGACAGTAGAATAGTTCACTAGTGAGACAGGGTAAGGAAAGAGATGCAACAAAGATGTCTTGTTGTTGTGGTATGTGCAATTGGTAAGGATGGCGCTAAAATGATGCTTTCAATGTTCTATTTCTGTTGGTGTGTCGATGCTGAATTCCTTAAACAGCTTTATTCTGTGATGACAGTTTCCCCCTCTACCAAAGAACAGTGAAGACATCATGCTCCAGAGTGCTCTAGGGGAAAGAGCAAACATAAGAAGGGAAAATGCTGCTCTTAAAAATCTGTAAACCAGTACAAGAACTGCTGTTGATACAACATTTAAGAGAGGATGCAAGTTTTAAAGTATAGAAAAACGGGAGAGCATAACTAGATTCTAGTACCAGACACTTTGGGATTATTTTTTTATCATCCTGCACTTGCAGGACTGCAGGGTAACTAGTGTTCTCCTCCTGGAAGACTTTGACCAACTCAGCTGTTTCTCTGGATTCTACATTTGTTAGTTTCTGTGATTCACTGTGCTGAACCACAAAGGGGTTTTCTGTAAAGACAAGCTTAAGTGAAAAGAAATTGAAATGAGTATATTGGAGGCTTGTAAATGTGTGCTATGTTTACAAATGCATGTTTTACTAAATAGCAGCCCTGTAATATTCTCTGGGAATCTGAAAGTTAAACTGATAAATATGCTGCAGTTAGCATTCAGTTAACCGTTCTGACAGGAGAGTCAGAATACATCACAGTTCACTTTCTTAGCGCTCCAGAACCAATGCAGCAACTGGGAGTAGGAAAAAAGTAATAGAATGTCGCTAAAAAGAGCAGAGATTCTAAAGAACGCACAGGAGAGAGATCAATAGAGAAAGGGGATGCCATTAATTACTTTTCAAGGCTTGTCTACACATGCAAACAAGCCCTCAGAATATAACCACCCAATGCTGTATGCTGGCAATGCAGTTACCAACATGGCATGTGTTAAAAGCCTTAATCTTTGTTTGTCCCCTTGACCTTTTTCCTAAATGGCTTTGTCATTCTCTCAGTAGCATCAGGCAACTTTCAGGTAAAGCTTTCAGCTTAATTTCTGCCCAGACTCCATGGAAACAGCTCCACTACAGCTTCAAGGTGGTCTGTATCTTTATCACTCACCCAGCATGAAGGCTCCGTCTGGCAAGAAGTACTTGTCAGTGTGTTTATGGTTACATTTGAAACTTAAATTAGAATACGCATTGTTGGAACCTAGGCCTGGAAGAAGTCCACTGAAGGCAGTAATGGTATTTCTAACACTGGCAATGTGAACGCACTATAAGAGATTGTAGGCCCATTTCCAATCCCCTTTAGTTAAAACCTTTTGAGATTTAAGTAATTCATTAACTAGTAGAGTGTATTTTGTTAGTACTAACCGATATCGCTGCAGATTGGAGGCTGTTGTACACATTGTTCCTCCAGTCTTTGTGTCAAGAATTAAATCACTTTCTGCAAGAGAGCAGCTTTTAATACTTGTCTTAAGACTCTGAAAATGCCCTTTATTCTGCACTTTCATACTGGTGGGCTAAGCAAATCAATGCACTTTTTCTTTACATGTTCATTGCAGTGAGGAGGGAAAAGAGAGTTAACAGTTGTACCTCTAGAGGCAATTGGTACATTTGAATAAAATATTCTGAGATTAGTAAATATTATGAATAGGAAAATGTACGCACTTGGAAATATGACGTAGGCATCTGAGTACTGTTCTGTCTGTAGCCATATTCACCTCCCAGTCTCAGGCTGACATCAATAAGACAGCATTAAATAGCCTAAATTCTTCATGCTCTGTATTTTCAGGATAAATGAGGAAACACGGTATGAGACTGAACT